TCAAAGTTACTGATTCTTTCCTCAAACACGTCCAGTTTATTGATGAGCCATCAAAGGCATTCTTTATTTCTGTTACAGTTTTTAAAAATTTATTTCTAGCATTTATTTTAGTTTCTTTCTTTGGGTTTCCACCTCTTTGCTTCCATCATCCATCTGGTTCTTGCACGTCATCTACTTTTTCCATTAGAGCCCTTAGCATGTTAACCACAGTTATTTTAAATTTCCAGTCTGATAACTGCAAAATATTTGTGATATCTGAGTCTGGTCTAATGCTTGCTTTGCCTCTTCAGATTGTGTTTTTCTCCTTTTAGCATGACTTGTAATTTTTGGTTGAAAGGCACACATAATGTACTGGATAATGAGAACTGAAATAAATAGGCCTTTAGTGTGAGGTTTTGTGTTAATTTGGCTAGGAGTTGGGCTGTGTTTAATGTTTGCTGTAGGTGTCAGAAGCTTCAATTTCCCTTAGTATACTTGTTTGTGTCTACCTTTTTGTCTTTGGGTTTCCCTAAAAGCTTCTTGCATAGCGTCTGAGTCTTGCAGCTCTTTCAGCTCTAATACACTGCTACACCAGACACCTATTGATGTGCTGGTAAGATGTGGGGGCAGTGGAAGTGTTCTATCATTCTATGATTAAGTCTTGGTCTTTTAGTGGCCCTCTGTCCCTATGCTGAGACCTTTACGAGTGTTTCTCAACTATTTGTTTTCCCCTTAGGTGAGACAAGAAGACTAGAGGGGGCTGAAGTTGGATAATTTCCCTCCCCCAAGGTTGGATCAGACTCTGACAAAACTTTTCCCCTCGCTGTGTAGGTCTTTGTTATGGAGAACATTCTAGGTCTAGTTCAAAATGATTACTTCTCCCCTCTCCCATTCAGAAGCACAAGGGGTTTGTCTCTGCTTTTCACCATGAGAACCTGGTGAGGTTCCTAGAGGTAAAACCTAAAATAATGTAGGAGGTCCCTAAGATTGTGGCCCTCAGGAGTTTCTCAGTCTCACACTAGTCTAAACTTCACTTCCAGAAATTCTTCAAAGTTACCCAGTAAGTGTTTCTACCAGTTTAGGGCTCTGGCAGCTTCTGCTCCCAGGAAGCAGATCTCGTTGTGATTCCCTGCTTTCACTTGTCTTTCCAGATTTTGAAGGGGGTGGTTTGACCTCAATTCTCTGATAGATCTAAGAAAAGTCACTGACATTCAGTTTGTCCAATTTTTCTCTTGTTGTAAGAGGGGAGAGATGATTTTCAAGCTTCTTACATGTCAGAGTTGAAACTAAAAGTCCTTTTTATTTTTTAAAATTCCATCACTTTAAAGATCAGGAAGCTGAGGCTCACTGTGGGTTAAGTGAGTAGCTAAAGTCTTCTAACTCCTAAGCCAGTACTCTTCCCTTCATCTTCCCGCCTCTGGTTCCTATTAATACATCTCGCAAGATCAGCCTGGGGAACGCTCCACAGACAAAGCATATGGCAGAGCAGAAGGGTGTGGCAAGGCAGGACACACAGGTGCGCTGCTTTGCAAAAACAAGACATCAAATCTCCTAGCGGAGAATGTTGATTAATAGCTGAGCATTCACTTTAGCTCTACAAAAAGGTTCAGAAAAAGAGTCTTTTATTAGTAAACTGCTTTTATAGTGCATGATTAAATTTGCACAAATGGTATATACAAAGAATCCTCTTGAACACATTCAGAGTCAACTAACGGCACGGAACACTCACTATGTCCAGTCACTGAGCTAGAAGTTCTCACAGGGAAATGTTTCCGAATCGCAAGGACTCTGGGAGACAGGTTCCTGTCTTCAGTATTTCCATCTCACAGATAAGGAAACCATGGTTCAAGAGATATTGAAGGAGCTTATCCTTGATATGAGAGAAAACAACTAGTGAGGTTGGATTCTAGTCTCCTCTGTAACTGATTAGCGATATGACCTTGACCAAGTTATTCACTCTCTCTGAACTGTGTTTCACAAAGAGAATAAAAATAATTACCTCCCAGGGTAAATTAGATAATGTACAAAAGCACTTATCACAGTTATAACAATAATAGTGATTTATATATAAATTTATCTATGTATTAATTTATATATAAATAATCATAGTAATTAGAATTATAATAACTATAGGGTAACTATTATTATAGTAATTATAATTAATATGTTATATATAATAATACATTACTAATATTGATGGAGGTTACAAAATCAAATCATGGAAACGAACTTTACTGTGTGGCCCCTTGTAGAAAAGAGGCAGGAACTTCATGAATCTTATGAACATGTTCAAGGCTCTCTGTAGCTCTGGTAGGTCCTACATAGTCTTAGATGCCAAGAGACATAACTTAAAAATTAGGTTCTTTCTGGATGATGAGGCTGTTTAGGTCAGTATTTGTGGAAACACATCCATCAAATTCCATCCCAAAGATGTTAAATTGAAGAGTGCATTAGGTCCAGGTTTTTTCGATACAGTTCATGAAGAGCACAATAAGAAAGCTGGAAACTGGTGCCGGAATCAGCAACTGGTGCTCTGGGAACCATCTCCAGCTCCAATGGTTGCAGAAATCACTGAGAGGTCCTGAAATGGCTGTGTTCTGATGACTGGCTCTGGCAGTGAATCCCCAGGAGGGATGCAAAGCATGGGGGCAAACTCGAGGCAGCAGCGTGGAAAGATCAGCCTGCCATGCTGGCTCTTACCTTGAGCCAAAGATTGTCAACAGAGACATGCAGGAGAAAGGGGCTACTCCACTCGTTCCTTTGGGACTACGTGATCATAGATGGACTGATGGGCAAAGAAGTAGAAAATATTCTAGAGGCCAATCACGTCTATGAACTAACCCAGCAGAGTCCCAACAGGGCCACCAGGACACCCAAATCTGTCCTTGACCACTGCGGGGTGTCTTTATCTAGGCTCCTGGCTTTTTCAAAGTGCCAGGCAGGATCATCCTAAAAGAGGCCACTATCACATCACCTTATCACCTCCAAGGTGATCCTTAGAACCGAACAGCCCCTCTGGGTAGCCAAAAATAGAGGAGCTGTGTGATAGAAGGACAGAGAAACAGCAATCTTGGGGAGCAGAAGTGAGGTGATTAAGGGAGTCCAGTTGTGGGTGGAGAGTGGCGTGCAGTCAAATGCAACGTTCCTGGAGAGGCAGGTACCCCAGGCAGCACAGCCTGTGCAGCGGGCAAAGGCAAGCAACTTGAAAAGACCACTCCAGCTAAACAGCAGTTGTTAGGCTCAGGGATGTCCACCTGGGCCTGGTGTAGCCTGAGTTGTCAAGAATTAGAATCTCCACTGGCAACAGGTACTTCAGGGGAGCCTCTGACTCACAGGCAGGGCTATCTGTGGCCAGATGAGCCAGGGTGCAAGCGCCACATCGACGGGTGCAGTCACCCAGAGAGTGTGAGAGAATTCAGAGAGTGGACTCAGGAGGGACTTCAAACACAGGACAAGGCCACATGCTTATTGCCGTAAGCCACGTCAAAAATCATCAGATAAAAATGGAGGAAGAGTGGAGAGATACAGTGAAGGTCAGTTGGCTCACGTGGCGTTTCCTTTCAAGGGCGAGGGCCTTTTATGCAAAATCCATACCTGTGGTGCCACAGAAACTGAACATTTTAAAAACTATCTAATTCAGAGAGAATTATCAGGTATAAAGGAAGGATGGAACAGGGCTATAAATGGCTTCCTTAAGAATCCAGGTTTCTTCTTACTTAAGGACTCCAGAAATTCTGTTTTAGGTGTTTCCATTTTGCAGATAAGGAAACCATGGTTAAGATATATTTAAGGAGCTTTTCTTTGATATGGGAGTGACTAACTAATGAAGTTTGATTCTAGTTTCCTTCACTTAAAAAAATTTGTCTAAGTGCAATATAGAGGGTGTTTATTTTAATTGACAAGACAGTGGTGACACGACAGCAAATCAAGGTGTTTGCTTAAAAAACAAAAACAAGATTCCTTTCTAAATAAATGGACAAATTGTCTAAACTTAAACATTATACAGAACTGAAAAGAATTATTTTAGACCATGAACTACACAGGAAATAATTTTTATGATGGGTGAAAATAAAATAAAATACTGGTCTAAGCCAGCACTTCATATGTCACAGGCAAGCCTTCTTATCCGATGACCAGGTCAAGACCTAGAAGCATGTAGAGTGTTAATTGAGGACCTCTTCCTTTGCAATGTTTCCCTATTTAGGCCATACTTGAATCTAAACCATTTGTTCTTGAAACGTGGTCCCAGCACCAGTAGCATCTTGTTAGATGTACAAATTCTCGGGCCCCCATTGAATTAGAAACTCTTCGGGGGGGACCTGGGAATCTGATTTAACAAGCCCTCTAGGTGATTCTGACACACCCTAAGATTTGAGCACCACTGCTCTAACCATTGCAGTGGCAGGGTCTTAGGTTCAACAAGGCTCAGGGTATGACTCTGAGGCCCTGAGATGGCACAGTTCCAATGGACATGCCCAGAGGGACTGGCCTGTGAGGATGGGACGGCGCTCCATGCTGCTGAGGTCAGTGCAGTGTTTGCATTAGGATATTTCCATGGATATGCAAACCATCAATGCCAAGACAGTTTATTGCTAATGAAGCAAAGTTAGACAGCTGCAACCTTTTGTTTCTATTATTCCTAATCCTCCTTTTCCTGGGCCATTAGCAAAAGTTGTTCATGCTCAAAAGGAAAATTGGTTTACTGAAACCAGGGTTTCTCAGCCTTGGCACTATTGATGTTTTTGTCATGAGGAGCTGTCCTGGGCGTGTTTAGCAGTATCCCTGGCCTCTATCCACTATGTGCCAGTAGCAACTCTCGTCCCCCTCCCGCTCCCACTAAGGCGTGACAATCACAAACATTTCCAGACATTGCCAAATGACTCCTGGGGGCAAAATTGCACCTAGTTGAGAACCACTAACTTAAACTAAACCATTTTCTTCAAAGCGGGCAACGGGCAAGGCAACGAAGGAGGGATGTGGCAGCCAGAGGGGTAGGCTTTAGTGACCAGGGGGCAACTCACGTTGTAGGACCGGCCGTGCCTCTGTCTCCACTGCACCAGCACGATCTGGGCGATGACCAGGGCGCAGAGGAAGATCAAGATCATCTCCACGTGCATGGACTCATGGCCCCGGTGCATCCTGTACATCCTCTCCTGCTGCAGGCTAGAACCGGCATATGAGGTTATCTGAAAAACTCTCAAGCCTTGCACATTTAGGCAAAAAAAAAAAAAAGAGAAAAAAAGTGCCTTTTTTGGCTGGACTCATAGGAAGCAATTGTGCATTTCAAATATATGGGTTTTTAAGCTTTGGTTACAAAGTTTTCCTAAGTTTTTCTTGGTTCCTCCTTTTCCCCCAGGCTTGGGGAAGGAGCAGCAGAGAGGAGAAGCCAGAGTTGATAAGCAAAATCAATTCCTCTCAGTCTTTTGCTTTCCCATGTGCAGTTTTGGCCCCAGCATTGTCCTTTCAAGTTAGGTGATAGGGCGGAAAAATCACTGACGGGCCCTAGGAAGACCTGGGTTCGAGTCCCTGATCTGCTACTTCATTGCCATGTAACCTTGGGAAAGTCACTCACCCTCTCTGAGCCTCCGTTTCCTCATTTGCACATTTAAAATAAGGATCCCTCCATATCTCACAGGATTGTTCTAAAACTGTAAAGCACATATGTTATTTTGTTCGTACCTATATGAGAAATAATAGTGATTATGAGGTTGAATCCTATGAAATTGCTATTTTTGAAAGTCAAAAATAGTGAAATATCAGTAATTTCAAGTAATTTCTAATATTCTCAAGTAAAAGGATATCCTGCAGATGGTGCCTATGGAGCTATTATTCATGGGGCTATGGAAAACTCCTGAGTGAGTTGTACAAATTTTTCTCATTATAAGGAGAAAGAAGAGGCCTAAATATTATCTTTGACAGGCAAAAACATTCAGATGATGGTGGAATGTTTCCATTTTTCGTTGGACTCTTACTTTCTGCACAATGGTAGAGAAAAACCACTAAAATAGTCTATCATCTGGTTTAACTTCCAAAGCATAAGAAGCCTTGAGGAAAGCCTAGAGCCGTGGTTCTTGACCTTGGCTGTAAATTGGAAATCACCGGGGAGCTTTTAAAAATCCCAGCGCCCAAGCTGTACCTCATTTAAAGGACCATTGCTGGGTTTTATGGGCTGACTTGTGTCCCCTTCCAAATCCATATGTTGAAGTCCTAACCCCCAGAACCTCAGAATGTGACTGTATTTGGAGATAGGGACTTTAAAGAGGTGATCAAGGTAAAATGAGGTCATGTGGGTGGTGACTGGTGTCCTTATACGAAGAGATTAGGGCGCAGACTCACACAGAGGGAAGACCATGGGAAGACACAGTGAGCAGCTGGCCATCTGCAGGCCAAGGAAAAAGGCCGCAGAAGAAACCAAAGCCTGCTGACACCTTAATCTTGGACTTCCAGCCTGCAGAACTATGAGAGAATACATTTCTGCTGTTTAAGCTGCCCACTCTGTGGTATTTCATTATGGCAGCCCTGGTAAATGGACAAAGCTTTCCAGGATGGGCTCTAGGCATCCGTACTTTTTAAAGGTCCTCATGTGATTCTCAACTCATGTGATTCCTCATGTGATTGAGAATCACTGGCCCGGAGCGAAAGAGGTCCAGGGTCAAGATTAGGGAAAAGGGGGAAGAACGATAAATGCTGCCAACTAATTACTTTATAAATATTGGTTAGCATTATCTTTCACCCTCAATGGGGCACCATCAGTCACTAAATCTCTTAAAATGTCCACTTACGACTGGTTACAGTATGCACTTAGCTAGTGTATTAATCAGAAAACACTGCGGAGAAATATTCCGTGCCACAACACTGTGATTCTTTAAAGGCGCTTGTTGGGTATACGGGTTGGGTTCTCCCGCTTTAACAGCATTTCTACAACTACTCTGAAGAGCTGAGAAGTATGGAAAGTTTCAGAAAAGGGCCCCATCTGAATCCCAGGGGTGCCCCCTGCTGGAGAATACACAGAAATGGGCCTGCAGAGCCTCGTAAATATTCCTGCTGTAGCTCAGCTTCTTTGAGACGGAATCTTAGAATGTCAGAGCTGAAACCCCTGCATTTATCAAACGAAGAAGGTAAAGTTCACATGAGGTAAGCAAGCTAAAAAACATCACATGGCTATTATTCTCCTAGCTGAGCTTAGAAGATGAGAATCATTTCCAGAACCTCTTTAAAAAATACACTCATTCCTCTGAAGCAATGGGAAATGAAGAAAAATAAAAGGGTATAAGAATTTAGTTATAGTTTTTACAGCCCCAAATCCAAAACAACTATTTCATATTCTATGTAACAAACAGGCTTTCAATTTTGGCGATGTAGATAGAAGTGTGAATTTATCATCAGTCTAAAACAGGACTTGCATAGATATAAAACGAAATTTGCCTTATGACATTAATCTATTTTGTGTATATCTAATGAAAATGCATCTCAAATGGTTAACCTGTGTGGAAGTACTTTGGAAAGTAGAAAGTAGTATACAAATGTAATAAGTATTTCCCATCTTGATTAGGAATACACTCATAATTGATGACCATAATGCAAAAAAGAGGAACTTTGCATTTTTATTTCATTTCATTTGGTGCCCACAGGGGCCCAATGCCTCTGCAGTAGGTACAGGACACAGGGGAAACAGCATATAAAGAAAACCTGATGTATCTTGTGCCTAACACAAATACTAACTCGACACTGCCCTATTTCGAAGGACATACAATCTAGCTTTGTGGGATTGTATAGAACACACTGTAGAAAACAGATGGAATCCTTGTGGTTTTGGTCTATATCTTTGTGCGCGCATGGCTATGCTAACCCACCTTCTTTATCCTGGGAAATTTACAAACAAACTGATGGCTTCATTTAAGTTAAACTGTTAAGATGGAAATCTAATTTTACTATAACAGCTATAAAAAAAAAACTAATCACTTACTTCCACTCATCATCCGCAGAAAGTTTTGTGTGAGAAATCTGAAAAACATAGAAAGAGCTCTTCTCAAAATTTCTTTGTTTTCTTAGCTTGTATTTTACAGCATTACATGGGGAACCCAGACCATGAAAAACAGTGATGTTTCCTAGGACTGGAATAATTTAGGATGAAAGCCCTAATAATATATTTGCTTAAGGAATTAAAGCACACACACTCCAAAACAAAACAGTAATCAGCTCACTATTCATAAATATTTGATTCTGCTCCTAGATCAGAGAACCAGACGAGGCTCCATTCCTGCGGTTTCTGTTTGGCAATTCAGTCAACGTTGTACAGTGTGGGTTCCCAATAAGCAGTGTCACCCTGGCTTCTGGGATATGATGTGTCAATCTGAGAACCCCTAAAAAACATCTGTTTTGCTGGTATCTTAAATGATGCCAACAAGTAAATATCATTTTCAAGTTCAAGATTTTAGAAATGGAACTGACTAGAGGCTCTACTTAGTTGGAGGATTTTTATGTCCTCCTGTTAATTTAATTTAATTTAAAGCCTGGCCCCAGGGAAGGGGGTAATCTGGCCTTGCCCTTGCAGAATGAGCTGGAGAGCACAGAGACCATCCCCAGGAAGTGCTTTGGGACGACCTACTGAGTGTACCCACATGCTATATCGTCCCTCGATCACTGCTAATCCACTACATTTGGTCATTTGAAACTTTTAAAGCCAATCATTGGAAAGACATAATCTTATAACTTTCATGGAGAGCACAGATAGCTTAATCCCTAGTCCTGTAGTGTTAAAAGCTAAACTCCCCAATGATGGCAAAGAAGGGAAGGCAAATAAAACCTTTGTTACACAAATCTGATATTAACTAGATTTTTTTCTTCAAATGGCATAAGCAGTTCTGGCAGATGGAAAGAAACAATGCCATCCATAGTTTAGTCCGGGATTTCTGATTTGACGTAAACAGGTTCCATATTAAAATCTGTGCTTCTGTCAGAGGCTCGAGGGGTTCCCTCACAAGAGAGAACAAAGCTCCGGATGACACAGCGAAGTAGAGGCTTAGGCAACATGTGCCAGGGCTTGCTGGATGATGCCAGGAAAGACAGAGAAAGTGGGTGGCATCAGGTGATGCTGGCAGCTTCTCCATGGCTCCCTGCCCCTGCGTGATCCCACCTGGTGGTCCCTGATATTCCAATGGATGTCATAGAAACTAGGCTCAAATGCAGCCTTCCAGGAGCAAAGCCTTAGTGGCAACCCTCAGAGAGCAGCAATACCCTAGTCCCCTCCTTTGTCTGAGAGGTCCCTCTCTGCTAACTGCTGCTTTGAGGGAGAAGACATTGCATGGGTTTGAAGCCCTGAGCCATGTAGCCACCCAGCACCACCCAGCACGGAACACTGAGCTGACTGGTTCCTTGGGTGACCTTGGGCACAACACTAACCTATGTCTGTCTTCATTTCCTTATTAGAAACTGGAGATTGATATAAGAGCTCCTCTTGTCTACTTCACTGGGCAATGAGTATAAATAAGAAACTATAAGAGAGTTTTGTAGGAAAATGCTTCATCCAAGGGCCAATTATCTCAATAAAAGCTATAATCTACAGGACTCCCGGGTCCTCCTCATTTTGCTGTTCACGATCTTCAGGTTCATAGTGCTTCTTGTTAAAGTCAACTTAAAACAGGGAACTGGGTTTTTAGTTAAGTTGAGAAGAAACACTCCCTTTGCCTTTTACTAGCAATAGCCCTGGGCACAAATGAGTAACTATCCACCAGATTTCAAGTCATTATAATGAAGCATGATAAATTATTCTACTGAACACCAGGAAAGCTTAGGGAGTGGAAATTGTGGCTGAAAAGATTTCTGCTAAATACAAGTAAGAACTTCCTTAGATCAAGTGATATTGAAACAATACTCTTATTTCCTAAGGAAAAAACAAACTATGATGAAGATGGTGGTGGTGGTGGTCGTGGTGACACTCTTAGGGACATCTCTTTTTTAGTAATAGTTCCTTATTGTACAATATTTTTTTCTGGGGTGGAGTCTACTTTTTGACAATTTTTCCTGATATATTATTACGTAAGCCCATTCAAGATCTTAAGAAGATGTATTTTGGAAACTAAAATGACATTAAAATTCATCTGGAAGGGTAAGCATATAAAGATAGTCAGGAAATTCAGAAGAAAAATAATAAAGACTGGGAGCTTGGCTTACCAGACACTGAAATCCACAGAAATTAACTGAAAGCAGTATTGGCCCAGGGATAACAAGAGAGATGAATGAACAGAACACAGACTCTGTTCTGTGAATAGACCCAAGAACATGTGATAAATGAGTCACTTCAAATCAATGAGGAAAAAATGGATTGTTCAATAAATGGTGCTGAGACAATTGGCTAGGCATTTGGAAAAAACAGAAAGCTGGATCCAGTCCTAATTCCTCACTTGAAAATAAATTCTAGATGGATCACATATTTAAATGCAAAAAAGAAAATCTTGAAAGTACTAGAAGAAAATGTGGGTAAGCAATTTAAGAATCATGTGGTGGAGAAGTCATTTCTAAGTATGATGTCGAGCCTAGAAATTATAAAGTAAAAAAACCGACAGATTTTGAGGACATAAAAATCAAATACATTATAATCACCTATATTTGAAAGACAAATTAAACTGGGGAAAATACAATATACGTGAGAGGCAAGAAGTTAATAACCTAAATAAAATTTTATAATTTAAATAAAAGAGACGGACCCTTCCAAAGGGCAAAGTATGTGAACAAGAAAGTCACAAAAGAGGAAATACACGTGACTAATCCATTTATGGAAAGATGTTCAGCTCACTACGAATAACTGTGTAAAAGCCTTCATGAAAGCAGGCTGATTGTGCTAAGACCCTTGGGAGGGCTGAGAGATTGAGGGGTCTTAGCACTCTGGAAGTGGGGGTGCAAGTGGGGTTGCCAATAGAAGGTTCAGCTGAAAGTCGGTTTAAGACTGCGATCCCAACCCTGGTAGAATTCTAGTGGGGCTCAGAGGCACCAGGCACACACAGCAGGGCTAGACCACATCGAAAGTCCTCATCTGAAGGGAGAGAGCCCCAGCCCGGTCCCTCAGTGGCAGGTCACCCCTAGATCAGGCCCCAGGGCCTCTGCCCTGCTTTAGAAGGCCCTGTGCATCTCAAATTGGAAACACAAAAACTTTATTTTTTGTCTTTTCTATCTCTTATGAAAATATTTTGAAAGTTTGGTAACTGAGTAGAAATTGCCTGAACAGGAAGGATGTGGGGCTGACACACCCCAGGTGGATTAGAGGAGAAGGAGAGGAGAAAAAGCACAGCCTGTGCTCTGGGAAATCAGAGACGGAGTTTTTAAATTTGGCCCCCTCAAACCATCCAAAGCAGGTGAAGGCAGACGGGTATTCCCTCATCACCGCGCTGCCTCTCTTCCCTCCACTGTGGTAGGGTCATTTGGGAACAGCTAAGAACTGTCTAGAAATCCTGAGTTTGAAAAGTGAAGCGTGCAGCAGGGGAGCTACCTACCAGGGACCTTGGGGAGTCCTATGGGATCAGTTGTCCTCCCTGGTGTAGGCACTGTAGTGGGTTGAGTTGTGTCCCCTCAAAAGATGCATCCAAGTCCTGACCCCTGGTACCTGAGACTGTGACTTTATTTGGAAATAGGGTCTTTGCAGATGTAAGCAAGTTAAGGATCTTGGGATGGGATCATCTTGGATTTAGGGTGGGCCCTGCATCCAATGACTGGTGTCCTTATCAGAGAAAGTCACTGGGAGATTTGACACCCAGAGACACACAGGCACAGAGGAGAAACACAGAAGAGAAGATCACGTGAAGACAGAGGCAGAGATTGGAGATTTGCAGCCACAAGCCCAGGAACACCTGGGGGCACCCAAAGCTGGAAGAGGCAAGGAAAGATACTCCCCTAGAGTCTTTGGAGGGAGCGCGGCCCTGACAACACCTAGATTTTGGACTTCTGGCCTCCAGAACTGTGAAGGAATAAATTTCTCTTGTTTTGGCAGACCTGGGAAACTAACACATACACATCCAAACTACCACCCCTCCGGGCCCAGCAGACCCCTGCTACACTCAGGTCTGCAGGCAGCAGGCTGCGTGGGAAGAGCATGGCCTCTTACAGCCTCTGAGTCAAGCAGGCTGCATGTCACGGGTGGACCTGCAGACAGTGCTTTCAGAGCAGCTTGTTTTATGATCTTTAGACATGTGGCATGTGGGCCTTTATTTGTACTCTCATCCTGGGCCTAGTAGAGGCAGGCCTGCCTAGTTGGCTGGGAATACTGGCAGCCAGACATACCCCTTGCACACAGAAGACCAGAGGATTTCTCTCTGGGGAAGCCATCCAGGCCAAGAGAAAAGACGTACGGATATGGATCGTCAGTGTTCTCCCTACGAAAAGGCCCAGCTGGGTCACCCTCTAGTGCAGCCAGCCTGTCAACAAGCTCTCCCCATTCACAAGAGCTTCCAAACAGTGTTTTAGTGTCTTCTCTTAAATACAAGCAGATGGCTAAAGATCACTAGATGTTTGACACAGGTGAGAGTTATGCATCCATGATGACATGAACACCATGCTTTAAAAAATATAGAGAAACAAAGAAAAGCTCTTAGAAAAGAAAAATATGAGAATGGAAATAAAAAATCTAATGGAAAGGTTGAAGATAAATTGACAAACTCCCTCAGAAAGAATAAAAAAACCCCAAAGAGATGGAAAATAGGAGAGAAATATAAGAAAATTAGACAATCTGGCCAGGAAGTCTCATATCCAAAAATAGGAGTTCCAGAACAGGAGAGTAGAGACAGTTGATAACAGGAAATTTACAAGAAATTACACAAGAAAATTCCCAAGAACTGAAAGACACCTGCTTTCAAATGAGAGGACTTACCAGCTGCCCAGCACAAAGGATGAAAAAAGACCCACATCAAGGCACATCAACATGAAATTAGAAAATCGTAGGTTCAAAAGGAAAGGCCTTTCCAGAGAGAAAATACAGGTCATATGCAAAGGATCAAGACTCAGAACAGCACTGG